AAATGTATTTCTATTTTTTAAGGAAACCGAGTATTCACGCACCCGGACTCTCCAAACACTGGCGCGCACTGGATGCGTCAGGAGATCTCTTTTGGAAAACTGAAGCTGACGAACAACAAGGGAGCTTACAGCAACTCTACTCAAGTGATTTATTATTTCATTTTCTCTAAGAATCAGTAGAAGTATGTTAGTATGAATATATAGGGTGAGTTCAGCAAAAACATCAGGTCAGTATTCCAATAAACTGTCTTTGTCATTCTGAATGTATTTTCATTTGCCAGCAATCACCATAAGCAACACATGTTAACATTTAACTGATTTCAGCTTGCACATGAAAAATGACCTTCACACCACTATTAAAATTACCTTGGGGTACAATCACTAATCACTTTTATGATACTTTTTTTTCTAATTATTCATATGATTTATTAATGTAATGTATATATAATACACACACATACACATGTATGTATATTAATTCCTTCTATACAGTTTGTGAAGTCTCTTATGGGAATGGGGAAAAAATAGCATGTTTTTTTTTAATGTTGATTCTTTTTCTGTGTCTTTCAAGATGATCGTCCTACAGTCTCTCCTTAAGTATCAGCCAAGGGTGCATGTGATTGAAATAAACAAGGGTGGAAATGAAGATACAAGTGATCCTGATAGAGTACAGACATTTACCTTTCCTGAAACACAATTTAGAGCTGTCACAGCTTACCAGAATACCGATGTAAGAACTAGTCTATCGCTGCATTCATTTACATTACAAAAAAAAAAATGCAATATGAACTTATTTAATGAATATGTTTCTTTATCTCCTCAGATAATTCAGTTAAAAATTGATCACAATCCATTTGCTAAAGGATTTCGGGATAATTATGATAAGTAAGTGCATTTCCATGCAAATGAATGCATTGATCATTATTTCACTTACAGGATTTCAGATCTGAATTTTAATTTGGACTTGACTGCAGAAATTAACATGATGTATTTTAAATTTACTTTAAATAAAATGAATTTAATAATAACAACAATAATGGCCTATTTCTGGTAGCACTTTATATTAAAATGTCTATGTTGCACATATTACAAATGCAATGGGTCTCGGTCACTAATAATTGCATGTATTATTTTATATTTATTATTTTAAATTTGTGTGTTTAGTAAACCCAGAATATGTGCTTTTTGCATACGTGTGGTTTCACTTGTTCCTAAACGTTTTCAAAAATTTGTACTAAAATTTAGTCCGAAAGTTTTAGTAAAAAACGTTTGTGCGCAGATTTCACACAGAAATGCATGCTTAGTGAACAGTAACATGGACATTCTAATGTAAAGAGTGAATTAATTTCCTCCTGGTTTATTTCTCTATGTCTCCAGAAGTTACAGTGGCTCTGACACTGATCGATTGACCCCTACACCCAGTGACTCTCCGCACTCTCAGTTGCTGCCCGGCTCACAGTACTTAATGACAAGTGCTTTATTTCAGGAACAGTTTGTCAACAGTTACACAAAGCCCTGTTTTCCAACTCTTACCCCTGACCCCAGCACTACTGACCGAACACTCAAGTTTACTAACAGCCTTGCGACCTCAAACCAAACCCAAGAGAGCAGCATGGCGTCTGGGCAGCACTGGTTTGTGTCTTCCGCCGCTGCTCCATCATACGAAACTGATATTAACACAGCAGCTCTGGTCTCTTACGCCACAGCGGGGGTCAAAGGACTGCCTTTCACTGGTTGCACTAGTAACAGTTTGGATTACTACACCAGCGCCGCTGGATGGGATTCACGGGGTTCGCAAGAGAACAGCAGTAAAACCATCTCAAATCTTCCTGGTTGGGTTCTAGATGCGAATCTTGAGAGATCAACACAATCTAATTACATGCCTGAGGATGGAGATATATGTTGGAAATAGACCCATCAGCTCTTGGAGTTTCTGAGGAGCTGGAAGGTAAAGATGCCACGGATTTGACATGGTCCAAACCCCAATCTTCCATTAAATCGGTCAGTTCCAGTGATTTAAGGATTTTGGATGAGGCTCAACTGAAAAATCCTTCTATCAATCCAGTTTCAGATGTTCAGACTGCAAAAGACACGCAGGTCTCACAGAACAGGGCCAAAAATGAGATTAAAGAATCTGACTTTTTTCTTTTGGACGCTCAAACATAAACCTCCCTGGGCTCAGTGTGCAATTAAAATGTTATTAATATAGAAATAACATTATTATGAAGATTTATGTATACATCATTTATTTATTTTCATGTTATACGTTACCATTGAAGATGAATGAGAACATCTCCAACTGTCTAAACTTGATGTATTTGATGGCTTATATGGGTATATTCTTTTTTTATTATATTATTACGATTATTTGTGATGATGGTAATATGAAAAAAAGAAAATAATTATTAAGACCAACATCGGTATTTGATACAACAAACAGCCTCAATATAATCAATCTAGATAAATTATTAGCCTAAAATCACGTTTAATATGAAAATGTATTGATTGTGATCTATCAAAACAGTATCTTGATTAAAAAGAAAAAAAAATGATTAGATGCTTATTGTGAAATATAGAATATTAATTTGAATTTATGACATATGACACATGTATAGACAACATAAAACTGTGAGATGTTGTGTATAAATAAATCCCCCACAAATCTTTGTAACTTAAATTACAGTTTAGATTCAGTTGCTGTATTATTTGAATGACAACGAAATGAATTGAAATACTTTGCAATACTGACACCTAGCGGAGAATGCATGCTCGTACTATCGAAAGGTGTCGATGAAGGCAGTTCACCAGATTTTGGAACCCCGGCCGGTTGTGTGTCCTTGACCTGGAGGAAATAATAGCTTAATTCTCCCATAAGCAACAGGATTAAACACGGCAGCGGAATCTATCACTACATACAGCTACAAACTCTCTTAGTTACAGGGAAGGGATCAAGAAAAGAATGAAGCTCATTCAGCAGCTGTTGAACCCGAAATAACCAGAGACCACCTTCACACAGCAACTCTGCTGGCCTGAGCATATGTTAGTATTTTCGACGCATTTCTTACATAAATACATAATAAAAATAGTACAAAATAAAATAAACAGAATATGATTTTCATAAGGGTAAATAAAGTATGTTGAGGGAACTATTTCTTCCAGCACAAAAAAAATTTATATTATAGTTGTTTTATATATGTATATATGTGTGTGTGTGTGTGTGTGTGTATATATATATATATATATATATAATTTTTTAATGCACACAAGGTGGCGCCAAAGGAACAGTTTGTTGTCTACTCAGTCCTTGAAAACCATCAGTAAAGCACTATGCACTGTATGCCTTTGATAGGAGATGGGTTTATGTGAAAGTGGGTTTGTAGATAAAGCATATTATTTCTCTTACATGCGAGGGGATGAACATTCCTCCAGTTTAGATCAGGTAGAAATATCACTGAAAGCTGTGCATGTTCACTTTTTACATTTAATAGCCTACTTTAAGACGAGTAAATGTCAATCTCGTTTTTTTCTTCTTCCCTAAATCACGTTGTTTAAATTGTTTGTGCTGTAAATGTAATTCCACTGACTGCTGGCTATTGTGGTATAGACCTATCTTTCCATGCTGGATGGATTTATATTGAAAGCCATTTTATAGGCACGCACCCTAGTAGCCTATGCTATTGGACATGTCTACTGTTACTGACCAGGAGCTTAATAGCCTACTTTAAGACGAGTAAATGTCAATCTCGTTTTTTTCTTCTTCCCTAAATCACGTTGTTTAAATTGTTTGTGCTGTAAATGTAATTCCACTGACTGCTGGCTATTGTGGTATAGACCTATCTTTCCATGCTGTATGGATTTATATTGAAAGCCATTTTATAGGCACGCACCCTAGTAGCCTATGCTATTGGACATTTCTACTGTTACTGACCAGGAGCAATACATGCAGTTGTTTTTGTGACAACATGCCCAATAGTAGTCGTGACTGTATTCTGATATCGAAATCTTAGTTTAGGGCACTTAATTCATATTTTATTTTTTAATATAGCCTATTTTTATTGTTTGGAACTAGTGGTTTAAAAAGCAACATAGGCCTACATTGCAAGATCAAATACACACGTTTTACTTAAAACAGTGAAATAGCCTATAGCCCATGTGACAACTAGCCTCCTATTTACAAACTATAAAAAGTTAATATTTGTAAGAAATCGACTTTTTGGTATAACCAAACAGACTGATTCAGGCTATTAAATTAAATCCAGTTTATTTAGGCTAGATGTCAAACCTGAAGCGCGACATTTAGTTTAAGTTCGGATTTTTGTTTTTATAACTCAGCGCGCTCTTTACACGATATTCTCACATTTCGTAAATCATATGGGGAGTGTGGACTCACACCATGGATGATTTTAAGGACTTTGCAGAACACTTGAATACCCATGGTTTCTGTTAACTCACGTGCTGCCGGTCGCAGCTGCGTCACGCGAGCGCAAATGACGCGCTGAAGGAGAGCAAGCGAAGACAGAGCGAAAAAACCCGA